GAGCGCAGCGAGGTCCGTACAAATGACCGAGAACCAAATATTTTCCCGTACGGCCCGACCTAACTCAGTCAATAAGCATTTTATCATATGACAGCGTTTTTTGATGTAAAAAAAATAAATAAAAGCGCGCGGAACTTCAAGCCGGGAAAATACGGGTTTGTACGGACCAGTCGCGAAAAGGCGTACGGACCACATCGCGCGACCATTTTCCAAAGGCTTCAGTGAGAGCGCGCGCAGGGCCGAAATACGGGTCATATGATAAAATAAAATACTTCACAGTTCCCCATATTATGCATTTAAGAAAAACGGCGCTCGTGTCTTTGTCCTCTGATATAAACACGGTGGGAGTTGAAAAACACTAGAGAAGCAAGCTTAGAAACACGAGCGTAGCGAGTATTTCTCTTGCTTCTCGAGTGCAAGTTAGATATTATTCTTATTATTACCTATTGTTCATTGAACCAACATGGCCGCCGGTCTTTTGAATCTTATGCAAATGATTGAAATCGAGCAATACTTAGATTCTTCAAACGCTGTCAAAATAGATTGAACCATATAGAATTATTTGTTTCCAGCCTAGCATTTTTCGACTTTTCTTTGTTGACAATTGTGCTCATTAGCYCCCTATAACCCTTTAACATCCGATTTAGGGATTATCGTTCCTGTAAGAACGATGCATCTAAAAATTACAAGTTTCCGAGATCGCAAAAGAAGACCACCAAATGTAACCCATGGCAACAGCTAGTTATAGAACTCTATCTTGGAGTTAAAAAGATTTTACATAAAGCGCGATACTTGGGCAAAGTGGGCCCCTGAAAAATAGAAATGCGCATGCGCAAGTTTCGACTTTTTGGTACACCAACAAGGCTGGGAATCACGTCTTTTCGTCTCCAGTTTTAGAGTCTAAATCATCTTTTGCAAATCGAAATTCTAAGTGTTTTGAAATTGGCCATTCCAGGTCTTTAGTATTTTTGCATTTTTTTTTTGTAGAGTCTCTGCAGATCTAGCCACGGCACCCTTTTCGACACCAAGCACAGCAATCCTAGATTTCTCAATTGCGCGGCCGATCTGCATCATGGGAGTCTGGTTCAAACTCGACAGGGAGCAACTAACGTTCCTGTTTTAAGTGCGAAAGCCACTCGCACCTACAGGCAAAATTGCACCGATTGCATTCTTTGGATATTAAAACTTGCCAATTTTACCTTGGTACTTTCTGAAATCTGTCACAGAACGACTAGGGAGGCGACCTTTCTCTAACGTCGGCAATTMAAAGCTAACTTCGTATTGGCAACATTGTATTCAAAAAATCTCTTCTCGCCTCTGATTTCTTCCAGAAGAGTGTCTCTGCCGCCTAGCAAAGCTTTATAATGCAGTCCTAGGGGCTTCTGTGGCAGCAAATAACTCGAAAAATCACTTAAAACKGTTTTTGGGAGAATTTGAGAGCGAGTGCTGGCTAATTTAGCGACCCGTCTCAAATTCACCGGGCGTCGCAGATGTAAACAAACTCATAGGAATGTGAATCTGCAATAGTTTGATTAACAACTCCATATATGGTGTACATTTAATTTTTGGAAATATCAGTCTCAAAAAGAACCTAACATCCAAAATAAATCGCGGACGTTAAAGGGTTAATCAATGTTGGGTCTTTATTTGGATGGTTTTGTACTCTGGTAACATGCTCAATGAAAACATTTAATCTAGGGGGTTAGGGAAAATGCATTTGTCTATTTGTGCTACTTAAAAAAAGGAGATTCACACGGTCCAAAAAAAATTGCCAATGATTGTTGTTCCTATGCCTTTTTATATGAATTTGTATGGTTTTATGTTGTAAACTTATGATGTTTATATCTCACGAAGATGAATTAATAAACCTATTTATTCATTACCTGATAATCTGATTGAAATATCCTTAAACATTTTGGAAGTCTTCATAGTTGAAGAACCAAACTTCCAGTACTCAATATTGTACCCTTTTATCAAGAAATAAGGAGAGTTCTTGGGACGATCCCATGCTATGTGAGCACCATCTTTAGTTACCCCTAATAATCTGAAGTTTTCTGGCGAAGGCGGTGGAGCTGAAAGAAAATGYACGGACAATATATTGTTAATTGCTCCGTTCTCAGTTTTGAGATTCTTCCTACAATAGTTGGGTGGCGAAGAAAGATTATTTGACGATTTCAAACGCCGAGACCCCTAACCACGAAGTACAGTATCCGCAATTTTTGACTTTATTAATTGGATTCCAGACATGCACCTGGAATCAGAAACCCGAARCAAAGGATACGGAATCCGATAAAAGAGGAGGAGATGAAGTGAATCGATATTCCACATTCTAGGATGCTTTAATCTGGTGATATCCAGAATCCTTACGAAATCTGATCTTTCATTTAACCTGGAATCAGAAACCTTGGAATCCCGGCGGAATCAAGGGACGCTCTGAATTATTATTATAATACCAATGGATTACTATAATACCAATATTATGCTTTTAAAAACCTGTTAGCAATCCAAAAAATGTGATATTTTGCAGGAAATAAGAACAAAAGACTCCAAAAAATGGCTATGAAATATGGGGAACGGATCTACAATTGTACTATATTGTCATACCACTAACACATCATAACAAGATCTAGATCAAAATACGAAATTACCACTTATTTTCATCGCTTCAGGGCTCGAATCGATTTGAAGTTGTCCAATGTATCCATCTCTGGCATTATTGATAAGAATTTGTGATGCCTYGACTTTTGCGCCAGTCGTAGTCTGAGAACTGGACTTGACTACAGTGATGGACTTGAACCGGTAACGTACATGTGTACTGCCATTTCTACATTTGATGCAAACAAACATTTTCTCATATTCTTCTTCATAAATGTGACGTACAGGGCGCTTAAGTGCAAATTAGACGGTTCAACGTTTGCCTATATAACAGCTAAATGCAGCAAGTGATATCGAAACAAGGCTGTGCAACTGCGGTAAGCAATTATTGATAGCAGTTTAYTTACTAATCAGATCGATTGATACGCCTACCTCAATTCTTTGATTTCCACCCCTTGATATCCGGTAAAGTTTGCATATGTTCTGTTCATCTAGAAATAAGATAAGAGCCAATATTGATCTGGTCCATGCAGCCACTACGTTGGTGTTTGTTTCTTTTTATTATTATTATTTCATTATTATTATTTTCTCGTTGTAAGTGCTTTTAAAGTTGCTAGCATCAAGTACTAGACTATGGAGAAAATTACTTGGGCCGTGCAACAGAATAGAAAAAAAATAGTATTTATCAGTCTGTATTTACTAACTTATAAATACGTCAGCGAACCAGAACAGGACAGTGTGTATTACCTTTTTGTTTCCATACATTGTTCTGATCCAAAAACATAAATGATTTGATAACAAAAGCTATCTTCGATTTGATTATATTTCCCGTTACATCTGCTTTTGAATCTAACACGAATTCATTGCTTTCTTGTTTAATGCTTATTCTAATGTTCACTTTGAAAAAGATCCCACAATTGCATGACAAGCGCTAACTGTGATCAAGAAGAAGATAATGAATTCAGTCCAGATGATGAACTCATATTTCGAAAACGTTCGACATTTTATAAATGATTGTGTGCCTTTCTATTATCAATGATAAGATAAGGAAACAGACTGGATTAGTGATGTCCGCAAAGTCTATATGAATTTACTATAGATACCTCTTTATGAAAATGCCTCTCAAATTCTTTGTACTCAGTGGATGATCTGTTCTTTAGTTGTTCTGTGTATATCCAGTTTAGAATTTTTATTTCAAATTCCAGTGACAAGGAAACTGCAGTTGAAATAGCAAAAAAATATTCCGCTGTTAATAACTATCTATCCAGATAATAAAAGCATTAGACAGGGTTAATAGGCGATTACGTGGGGCACTGATTCCAAGCACTTATAAGGAGGTGACCATATTTGCTCTATTTCATGAATCGAAGTTCCTGAAAATGAATTTCCACGTACGCCTGTCAGATTCAATCAGTAAACAGCAATAGTCTTTATAATATTAATAATTCTTACTTTCAACCCAAATATTTATCGTGTAGGTAGCTCTAACCAATCCACTACCAGCATCTATAACCCTGAAGATGTATTTTCCAGCATGGTGTTTTGACAACTTTTCGATCTTTAGCGTCCCTGATCCTTGAAATGAGGAATTGCTCTCCTTTTGCCACTTTGTAGTTGCCTTTGGCAAATCACCTCCTTTGAACTCGATTTCGCCCCATATGGTGTCTCCTTCTTTTGCCTCTATAGTTTTCACTTTACTGACATCATATGTGACTAAGAATATATAATGCACAAGCGAATATGTCAATGTATACAGTTCATCATTTTGTCCCATAAATTGACAGAAATATAAGTGAGATCTCAAAACCACCAGCGAAATAGAAAATGCCTTTATGATACACATAGGCACTCAGTGACTGCAGAATACAAGCAAAAAGAACAATTGAGTTTAAATGGAACTTTTTTTATTTATTTTTAGTACCAGGCCAGATTTTACATTGTCTACCAGCAATCTCTGCTGATAGCGTGACATGTAAAGTAATTTCTCAAGTAAAAGTCGTTTCCACACAACGATATTAGAGAGAAAGATATATGAACAATATTTCGACGTTTCAAAGATGGTTGGAAGTATAATCGATTATTTGCCGTGGCTTCAAATGAGGGGGAGTTGGAATCGATATTGCGCCGTCTTCGAAGCGACAGAACGCGCAATCGATGTAATATCGACGTCATTTGAAACACRAAATAAAAGCAAAAATCGAAAATCCTCCGTCATTTTTGAAACCGAATAATTCGGAAAGCAAGACGTAATTCCTATTAATTAATGTATTTTTCAGAATTTAGACTTACCTTTGAATCATACTTACCCTTACCATATCGGGCTATGTATAGTCACATAAAATTAAGGCAACCTCAAGAGAATGTCAATACTGCATAGCATTCTTTTAATCGTCACTCATCCAGCATCAATAAAAGACTTTGGGTATATGAACTACAAAAAATATTGATAAAATGGAGATTCACTGTCAAATTATCTGACGAAAGTGACCAAATTTGTTGAGCGTCTTGATCGTTGTACGCTTGTAGTCTTGGATATCATATATGTATCTATCACACACAAAGASTGCAGAATGCCTAGGATCATTGCTTCAGTAATGTAAAATTAACAATAAGATGCAAAAGAGCAGGTCTTCATGATCACTTCTCTGGCGAAGTCAACACAAGATAAAATGAGTCTCCAAAGTATTTTTGGTAAGTGATTTAGCCTTAGACAACACATTCATCATGAATCTAAACACAAAATGTAAACACGCTTTGGGATACGATGGTCGACAAACTTACACATTTTAATAACTTGTTGTCTAGCGTCATTCATGTCCTCCGCTTTGATCATCATAATCCTGCTGGGTTCCTTAACCGAATTCTTTCAACTACGTAGATCACAAATACATTTGATGAACATACTTATTATGCTGRAATTACGCTCCGATGATCATGTGACGCACAATGATTCTAAAATTAATGATCTTTACGTGTTCTTACAATATTCATTACAACAAAATAATATTTCAGTTTTGGAACACTCAATTGTAGAATATTAAAACAAACAAATGATAACTTTCTGCTACAGCAAGTTTCTTTTGAAAATGGAACAAGATAATCATTCAAAATATCAAAATATCATAATGGCAGTGTCCACGATTCAGTAAGCTTCTGAGTGGGGGAATATTAAATGATGGAGGCTAAAATTTTAATCACGAACGAACTGAATAATGTCAGCAATAAAGGATAGTCACGCCTTGTCTTATTAGCTCTGAGCATGCGTAATAGGCCAAAGACAATTAAGCAGTTGAAGTGGATCTTGGACTTTTTGGCGATTGACAAAAAATAAGAATWAAAGAGAATTAGTAAAAGGTATTGTCTTTGTAGTCTCAATATGCATATTTAGAGCGTAATTTTAACTTACTGTTTTTTCAGCACTATAGCTTACCTTTATTTCCATTGCAAGTTCTATGGATGATTTTCATAAACAGRTCACGTGGTCCAATTTTAGTTTATTTGTTAAGGCTTCCTTAAAAAAACGCCTTGGTGGACAACGCATCAGTTTTTTAGTGCTTTTTGCAAATATATTATATATTTCTTTGATTTTGTTTTCTTTTGCCGGGTTTTTCTATCATTGTGTTTGCTTTTGTTTTGTTTGTTGATTTTGTTCTTGCTCTTGTTGCTGTTGCTTTCTTTTCTTCTTTTTTTAGACGTTATAATTGCACCAGGGGTAGGGTAKGGACAACTTGACACTCATTTATCTACCCTTTCCCAAAATGCAATTGTGATCATGATTTCGTGTATAATTTTGTTTTAATGTAAGGCGTCCAAGCAATTAAAAATAGAGTACAAACATTAAATGTGTGCAATACTTTGCACTATTTACTACAAAATAGTGTTAATTAAACAATAGAAAACAATAGAATTACAATAATTTAGCAGCATTTAGTGCTATTTATGTTGCACAGTTTTAGTGTTTGTAATCTAACTTTATCCAAATGATTTGATAATTCAAAAAGTCATGTACCGCTTGGAACTAAGAGAATATACTCTATTTTCGTTGGGTTTTTAACGATAGATATGCCGTTATATTCGTGTAACAATTAGTCAAAGCATACACACAGTATTTTTACAATATTATGCATTTAGTCCAAGTAAAGTATATTATGCTAAATTCATATTTAATTATAGAGTGCAAACTATAGAGTCATTTTTATCCGTCTGTGAAATAGGAATTGTACTATTAAATACTATAACTCCCTATTAGCTCCCAATAGTTTAACTTATGACATGCGATAGAGAAATTAGGGAAACACGGTTTTGATTTTGCCGTTTGGTAGGATACTACACCCTAATAGTTACTATTAAACTCTGACTAGTAGTAATTGTTTCACAGACGGATGTATGAAAATGACTCTATACCTGTCAAATAGTGTGAATTACACTAGACGAGCAAATACACTCATTTCTAATAGACAATATGTCATGTAGAAAACAAAAGAATAGGCATACTAATGCGTCCCTTTTCAAAATATTCATAAAATTACAATCAATTTTTTTTTAATTGTTTTGCTCTTATGCTGCTTAACAATCTATTTGAGTAGTGTAGTCAAAGATACGTCGCAATAAAAGTCAATTTGCTTCCGCTTAAATTGTGCTTAATTTTTTTTTTTTTTTTTTTTTTATTTTCTGCAGCTAACAAAAATGATCAGTTCCATCTGCTATAGTTTTTATCCATATATTACTGACAAAAGCACCCCCTTTAAAGAAGTGCTTGATCCGACGGCGTATGTAATCTACAAATATGATGTTAGTGTGAAAAATACATTAATTACCACAAAAGGTAGAAATAATCCTTTGACTTTGACTTTGCATTTTCAAAAAAGTTGTCGGATAAAATAGCGAACGTCAATTGTCGAACGGCGATTGAACGACCGAAAGTAGCCATGGGTATTGGTAATTGGCGAGAAATAACATTTGATTTGAACTGTAAGATAATCTGTAGTAAACATTGGCTCCATTCAGTACCCATTTCTATGCAAGGTGAATCAAATAAGAAAAAAATTGTTTGTTAAAACAGTGTAACCTGAGTTCCCCTTACGTCGTGCAATCTGCTTTCGACGCTCGTCGTTCGCCGTTCTCTCGACAACGATTTTTGAAATAGGTGTATTTCGCCGAGGTATAGTCATTTTTTAACAGCCCTGACAGCTTTAGCTTTAAGCCTAACAGCTTTATACACTTTGCATAGATTATGCAAATGCCTGATTGTTTTGTGCATTATACAACTCCGTATTCAGTTCAAGCATCGGTGCTATTTAAGTACAGAGACCCGGCATCTGGTTGGTGATCTTCATTATTGTTGCRTACTTTAAAATTCGTCGCAAAGTTTTCATATGCATGACAAACTGTATGGCTATCCTGAAAAAATAGTGTTTAATTAAAGAACCATTTTTTTTTCAATTTGATATATAATGGATTTBTTAGTGCAAGATATCAACGTACCTGTGAATAGTGATCAAGCATCATCGCCAATGTATCGCATATGTCAGAAAAGGAAGGACGGCTATTGGGGTCTGCTGACCAGCACTTCATCATGAAACGATACCTTCAATGTTATTAGTAATAATTATTAATACTTATTAGTAAAAATTAACTTCCCGACATTCACATCAAGACTAACTTACACATTACTCAGAAGTAACGAATCACATACTCATATAAAACTTTCGAGCTACGCCTAAATATCTCTCATATACATCCTTATATCTCATATACATCCTTATAAATTATTATCTCTCATATACATCTTATCTCACATATACATCCTTATAAATTATTATCATACAGTTTAAGGACGGGGTTTGTTAAAAAGAAATCTTGGCTTAGTGATTGACTGACTTATAACCTTTATAGGTCAAAAGGATAAGCGCTGCCATAATCATTAAGTGCAATATGGTGTGCAAGTTTCAGTGTTTGAATGGAAAAAATGTATTTGTAGGTTAGCCATCATGAACAAATAATTTCTTACAACTCATCAGGTGTGATGGTTGGCTTCTCCAATCGACGACCACTCTTTATAAAGTCGAGCAGTTCTTTGAAATTAATTGCTCCATAGGGATGTCGACCTGTACATGAAAACGATTATGAAAGTATTAATAAAATGGCTATCGGTGTGCAGAAGACCCACATCCATCATAGTCCACAATCGACTGTTTATTTTCCCCTTGACCGGCAAACGAGCTACAGGCAAATCTGTACTAACTTAATAAAAAAATCGTAGAAATAATCATAATAATATAATTCAGAAATGTCTTAAGATTCAAGTGTACTGAGTTTATAATCAATAATATATTAGYTCATCAGTGTCCTCGTGACATACTGAGATGTTTTGACATAAATTAAWTATATCTGCAATTCATTTTAATTTTACCTTTGGATTCGATTTCCCAAAGAAGAATTCCAAATGACCATCTAGAAATATTATAAATACAACAAAGAAGGTTATTTTCAGGCAGTAGTGGCTTTTAATTTCAACCAGTAAGCCTTTGATAACGTGATCATAACTACGCTACTCAAATTKCATTGGATATTTGAAATAGTGTCAAGAATGGACGGCATAAAATTCAAAGGTAAAGTAGATTGCATGCCAAAGAAAATTGCTTACAAGAGTTATAAATTAAAGTATCGATCTTTTTATCTGAGCATGGCTTGCACAGCTAGCTACACCAACCACTTTGATTGCTACAAAAGCCAGCAAAAATTGAGCACTTACACATCGGTTTTAGAATTAAACCGTCTCATCTCAAGTGATTCCAGAGCCATCCATCTGGTAGGCATTTTCCCCTTATAACAGAAAAAAGGTCAAAGCGTCAGAAATCATAAAATTCTCTGCCAGAGTATAGGGATAGGAGTATCTATTCCTATGTAAAAATATCATAAGTCAAAAAATTTATTTGAGGATTAAAAAGAATGATCAAAGTGGCTGAATTAGCATTTTAAAAATATGAAATTCTTATGAAACGTGGCTTTTGTAAATTATATATGAGTATAACATGTATGCAGGGGGTAGAGGRTCTTGAATGTACCGAAGACTGATAAACAAGGGAATGGCAACGGATCATACCGTCGTTGTCATTTCATAAGCTCCACTTTCATATATATCACGTGACAATCCAAAGTCTGCTACTTTAGCCTCGAGTTTCCCATCCAAGAGAACATTTCTGGCAGCAAGATCGCGATGAACACACTGCGAAATAATTGCACCATATTGATGATAGGGGATAATTTTAGTCAATTATAAGTAAAAAATACAACAATCTACTGATTAAAAATAAAATGAATAAAACAAAGCTGGGACGTCAGCTTTATCGACTTACGATTAACTGTGAAATTACATGAATAGTTCGCTATGAAATCTCAAAGTTAGCAGCATCCGAGTTATGATACTATACTTACCCTTTTCTTTTCCAGAAAAGCCATTCCTTTTGCCACACCCAGTGCAATGCTCAATCTAGTGTTATAGTCAAGTGGTCTTTCATTATTCTTTTCAAGGAATTCTTTCAATGAACCATTTTCAGCGTATTCCACAATGACGTACAAAATACCTAAATGGATAAAATATAATCCACCTATCAATAGGCTAATCTTTGCTGGCGTCTATGATTAATTTTTTTTTTCATTATTTTATTCCACTAAATATATCAAATAGACATAGCATATGCGAATTGATTGTTTAGCTATCATCATGTATACTTTTGAKGCTGTTGATATCGGCTTTTTACATTTGGAGTCTATAAATTAAAGTAATGCAGGTGACGAAGCTGTTGCTGGATCTCTGCAATACGCTCCCCATTGGCACATTTCTTTACATTTCAATTTTACATAAATGAAAGATAATCAAAAAGCCAAGAAAAACATCATTTTGGTTGACTTTAAATTAGTATTTTGACTGCGCAATTTGTAAGGACAAAATTGCAAATACTTAGGCAGCGCTTGTTATTTTCTCCACATTAGAAATCTTTGATCGCCCAACATTTTATGATCCATCGTTATCCATCCAAGGTTTTTTTTAACTTTAATATTTATATTAAAAGATCAAGAGTTTAGAGTTGCCAAATTAGCACTTGGCCATCGAGTATACTTCATTATAAAGTCCCAATGTAAAATGTTGGATCCCATTGCCCAACAATATCTGATGTTTTGTTGGATGATCAGAAATTTTCATTTGTCGCCCAGTCATGAAATGCGGAAAGTAGTTGTGACGTAGCATGCAAATATATTAAAAATGTCTTACCCTCTTCACTTACAGCACCAATGAGGTTTACAAGGTTTGGGTGGTGTCCTATATCAGCCATTAACTTCAGTTCTTTGAATAGATCACGAAACGCTTCTTCGTTCCTAGKATCTAAATTTGCATCAAAAGATGAACGTCATTACCATGAGAATAAGGACAAAGGCAAGGATGGGATTGCTTTAGGTTATTTCGAAGAGATATGGTAACCTTTTGTGAAAACCATTCCTCGACATTGAGCAAGGTTAGTTCAAGCCACTTCAGCACTAGCATTTCTCTGTTTTTCCGTTGTTTGCTTGTTATTTTTTGTTATTACTTTTTTTGTACATGTGCTTTTTAACCTGAAAAAGCGCGTGTTCTTTCTTTTC